TGATATTTGAATTTACCAAGCAAGATCATTGGTGAATTATTAAACTCTCAGGGTATATTCAATTGCCTCATTTGTACCATACCTGTTTTATGGATTCGGTAATCATAAGAAAGATCTGGCAAGTGATAAAATAAATAAATGAAGCAAGCTAAGTGAATGGCCCAGCAAAGAACAGTATTTTGATGATATCAATTGTTTATAATTTATAAGAATTGGAGGGGGGGAAATGATTAGATGAATTCAAACAACAAAAAAATCTTAAATTTGGAACTAAGACTAATAAATGAGGTAACTACTACAAATTCACATGAAGGGAAAATGAAAGAAAAAAGAGAAATATAATAAAGGGAGGCAAAGACAGAGAAGAGGAGCATTCTGATCCATTCTTCTCTATTGCTTTGTCTGAACTCACATATTTATTCATCACTCCTCTTATGCTTCCATCTCCAATCCCTCCTTCTCCTGGGTAGACGCAATTGTTATAACCTAATAACAAAATTATTAGCCAAAATGAGGAAATGAAATGTTATTGTGTGATTTCTGCAGAGACCTTTTTGTAGTCTTCAAATACATTTTTAATCCGATCGAGATTGGACATGTAGTAACTTCTACGGGTCGCACTTTTAATGTATAGATAAGAGGAAAACTATGGACAAATCATATCAAAACTAATCAATATCATATTCCTATCTAACTTCTACCTAAACACAAGTACAAGTTTATTATAACACAATGGTTACATAAGTGCAATTACTTTGTCTAACACAATGTATCAAGGAAAAATAAAATGTAGCTCGAGCTAGATATATAATTAACAAGCATAATATCATGCAGGGAAATATGCTAATCTACCAAAGGAGTAGTGGCCTAATGGTTACATAAGTGGATTGGTTCCCTTATGCATTAGGTTCAAACCCCCTTTGGAACGAAAAAAATATTATTTATATCAGAATATCCTAAAGTTAACTCCAGGTACCGAGTAGATTATAAGCAGAACTCCCACGGTTTTACAAGAAGAAAAAAATGCTAAGCTACAATCAATCATGAAAGGTGGTACTTGGTTTGATTTGCCATGATCTATTAAATTATTGGGTTTATGGACTCAAGAAATCTACTGAACATCATGAATGTATCTCGTGTAGGATTAATATTTTCTTAAAACCAAAAAAATAACAATTTACAGTCACAACATGATCTTAGTAAGATTTGTTTCCAAACTTATGATCACCACCTCATGATCTTATAACAAGTAGGATATGAAAGATGAGGAGGGAAATAACTTACTAGGGTTATCGGAAGTGATCCTTGCGGTTTGAGAGAAATCACAATCCGTAGGGTTTTCAGGAGATTTTTGGAAATACAGATTCATGGCATAGGCTGTATGAGAGGCGACATTGTTAGGCTCAAAACACACCCCTCCTGGCGTTATCGGACCACAGTCAATTCCCTGTCCACAAACCCAATCTAGACTCGCTTGCAACTGCTCTTCAGTCACATCCTCCTTTGGTACACACCATCCTATAGATGTTGTTTTGCCCAACGTTGGAGATTGTGGCGTCTACTACCATAAAAAAAAAATCATTAGAAATGACCAATATACCTCGTAAACTAAACAGATATTGGTGATGGTATCTAAATTACTTGAGTTTTAGTGAGACCAATGTCAAAGGCCATGGAGAGATCGGGCTTGAAAAGACCAAAAGATCGCTCAAAAGAAGGGCCAGGCTTGAGATTTTCGTCAAAGAGAGCAAAAATGTAAGTGTCGATGGATTTGGAAGGCATGAGGGGAGTGCCAACCATGGACCTTAAGTGAGCTATGAGGTTCCCATTGTAAGTCTTTGCGTTCTCAACACTCGGACCAACCTCGTTGCTATCACCGCTCGATGGCCAGCCTGTTTCGGCCACCATCACTTCTACTTTCTCGAATCCCATCGATTTCAAAGCTGAGTGCACCGCATCAACCTAGCCAAAAACCCCCATGTTTATTGGATCAGCATAACGCGTGTAGCAAGAAACAAATTCAC